ACTTTGATGACTGAACAATGATCTAATGAATTTATATGAATAAAAGGATTTGCAAAAGAAAAAAATGTAGCTGGAAAATTTTACACCAACATATGATTTTTTTTTCCTATTTTTTAATTGTATAGATTCATAATAGAATTTTAATTTATCAGGCTTTGTTTTATTTTAATCCTAAATTATGCCTCTTCCCCTTCATTATTTTCCTATCCACAGTTTATTCACAATTTCAAGCACAACACCCAACACCTTATTCAAAAATTGGAAAAAAAATACAATAAAGAATTAACAAGATAGACCTTGTTGGTTCTTTTTAATCAAACTAGTTTGGAGATATATATCTTTTTAGAATGAATTTTTATTAACCTGACAGATTTTTATCACTTTAAATGTTAATTTTATTGGATACCTGCATTTAAGTATGTTCTCCATTTATTTATAAAACAGTATATTTATTTTCACCTACTGGCCGGAATGGTTTTGAGAAATCTTGAAAAATTTCTTTGATAAGATTTCTCAAACTTTCAGAATGGTAAGTGAAAATAAATAAATAAATATACTGTTTAATAAACAAATGGAGAACCTATTCAAATACTGGTATCCACTAAAAATAACATTTAAAGTGATAAAAATATATATATATTTTCTGACCTCTTTAAAAAAAAATGCCAGAAATCACATTTAAAATAGCCTATGTAAACATAATCTTCTTAGCTCATTCGACACACACACAAAAGTAGAACAAAGCTTAAAAGGGGAAATAAAATAAAATGATCATTAATGCTTCCAAACAAGGTTTTCATTGTTTCAGGCAATAGAAAAAGCTTTTATATATATATATATATATATATATATATATATATATATATATATATATATATAATTACTATCCTGAATTGGTAAAGATGCAGCTAGCTATGTATCTATATATATATATATATATATATATATATATATATAAGAAATGAGCAAGAAGGTCTCCCTAAAACACCCCACTGCTGTTAGCTGATGCATAAAGTTGTAAACATGTGGTGATGTCCTTGTAGCTGCTCAACAAACTAATAGCAGCTGTTTATAAAAAATAAAAATAAGTTGGACTACAGGAGTTGCCAGACTACAGAGGTTGGACTGTATATATAAACTCCTGAAAGTGTATATTAAATTGACACACCAAGACAGTGCTCAATACTAAAATTACAGAGCATACATATATATTTTTATCACTCTAAATATTATTTTTAGTGGATACTCATAATTATTAAACAGCGTATTTATTTATTTTCGTCTACTAGCCTGATTAGTTGAGAAAAACATGCATTCATCAGCAGGATTCAGACTTGCATTCCCCTAGCAGAAACTGTCATTAGATCTGATATGCTTTGACCTCTCAGCTACAGAGTGCCTTGATGACCAAGCAAAGTTGAACAGTGTCTTTCAGCACAAATTTTTCTCTGACTCTTGAAATGGGATACAAAACTGAGTAGATATGTCTAACATAAACAAAGCAATTTGTAAAGAAAGAATAAATTTTTTATTTATTAATCTGTCAGGTTTTTATTACTATATATATATATATATATATATATATATATATATATATATATATATAAAAAAGAAAGAGGTTGTAGTGGTTCCAACGAGAGAAAAAGTATGTATATTAAAAAGAAGAGACAAAGAAACAAAGCATAATATTTTTCTAAATAAATCCACAGTACAACCAAAAAACGTTAGCAGCACCTCTCTTCTCTTCTTTTATATATATATATATTTATATATATATATATATATATATATATATATATATATAGTCACCCCAAATTTCAGGAACTGGTTCTATAAAGTCAGGTAATCTTTAGGAACCTATTCTGCTTATTTTCTTTTCAATCTGAGAATGGAAACAAATCACTTTATAGTACCAAAAAGATATAATGCTTTTTGATTCTAGTGTCATCAGCTGTGTTAGGGTTTCTTAGCCACATTCAAACTGAATCGCTGCAGTTCCAAAGATCCAGTGGATGACCTATCAAATTTATGACTAGAATTTGCCACATTGTGCATGCGGCACGTTTGGAAAGTGCCTGAAAACCATAGCACAAGTTGATCCAAGCCTTATGAGTGAAATTGGATAAACGTTCCACCTGGCGGTCATCAATAGCCATGCTAGCACAAAGTCACAAGTCATTGTGACTGAGGGTTTGAGTGTGCTGGCCTTGTTCACATTGTTGATCAGGCTAGATAACATGCTGTGAATTGTAACATACAAAACTCAATAAAACAAATATATTATTTAGTTGCAAATGCTTTTATTTGTTTTAATTTGTTTTTTATGAATATGGACAATATTTTCTGGAAGCAAAAAAATTTTTTCAATGAAAATTGAATTTTAATACAATTATTTCTTATTTCTTTAATTTTAAAAAGATTTTTTAAAAATGTTTAAATTGAATTTTAAAAATATTTTAACATTAGTTAAATGCAACATCAACCTTTCAAAATGTCCGTGTGAGATTGTCATTGTCTAGCGCTTTGAAAATTGTATAATTTGGACCAATCAGATTAGCCATGGTAATTATGAAATGTAATTTTTTTGTTTATAGTCGGACAGTAATTATCAAGTACGGAAGACCAACCAGAATACAATTTAGTTGCATTATTTGAGTTCAGCATTGTTCTCCCACTGTTAAGCCCTTTACTTTTCGGTAAACACGTATGGAGAAGTTAATTTGAGTTTTCAATTTCAACTGAGAAGGGTACCTACAAGTAACAGTATCATCTTATGAAACTTAACTACTGCTAAACTTTAATTTATATGATCTTATTTTTATATTAATCTCAGTTATGACATTTTTCCATAAATGAAATATCAAAATTAATAATAAAATGAATGGAAATACAAATAACACAGTAAAATGTAATAAATGTACTTAAAATTATAGTATTTTATGTACACTTCTGATAAAATTTCATAAGAAAGGTACCTAAATTAATTAGATACCTTTTTCTTGTGAAATTTAATCTCACTATTAACAGTCTTATTTTTTAATTTCTTTATATTTTCCATAAAGCATCGTAAACGTAAAAATGAAAGCTAAGTAAAAAAAAAAAAAAAAAAATTAGAGCGCTGAAAGTTTTCCTTAAAAGTAACGAGGTAAATAATTTGTTCACTTAAATAATTTCACTTCCTTCCATCCGTAGAAAGTATTCTCCTCCCGTAAGTTATCTAAACATCATGAATGTGCCTTTCGTCAAGCGATGCGAAAGGTTATGACCTGCTTTGTTTTATTTTCAAATTACATTTTTTCGGCGCAGAAGCTAAGTTAAGCTTGGTTCAAAATATTTTAAATAAACAGTATAATATCTGTTTTATTAAAATCAGTTTTGAAAAAAATGATAATTGATTTTAAAAGAATATCAAAGTAAGATTTTAATCTTTTTATCAAATCGAAAAAAATGATTGAAAATGATTATCTGTCCTTTTTTTTTTTTTTTTTTTTTTTTTTTTTTTTTGACGTGCTAGGAACGATTAAAAAATGTAAAAAAAATACTCAAAAAAATACTTTGATCTTTCCTCTTTAATAATAATATGAACATTAGGCGATAAAATTTTGTTTTTTCGTCAAGTTTCGCGTCTTTTTCATCATGCTATGCTCTTTTGTTTACATTTTCGTGGGTGAGTTGTCCCCTTTCATTCTCTCGATGTGTCTTAATCGTGTTTTCAAATTGATTTTCTAAAAAACAACTGTGTGTTTCCCATCTTTGGCGCTGTTAGAACCACCAAAAGGTAATTTTAAGTAGTCCTGTGAAGTTTTGTTGAAATCGGCTAAAAAAATGTAGGAAATTGATCCAACATATAAACGTTACAGACACACACACAACCTGCGTTTTATAATAAGTAAGATATATATATATATATATATATATATATATATATATATATAGATAGAGAGAAAAAAAAAAAAAAATCCAAAATTACCTCCTGTAGGTATAGTCTCACTTTTTCACCGACTGCTGTCTAAACTAAATTCAAAACCCCTATTCTGAGGCAGTCAATCTAGGGCTGAGATAGACTGGCATATACCAGTGCTGGTCTGAAATAGACTATACTTACATGAGGTAATTGGGGATATTTTTTTTTTTTTTTTTTTTTTTTGGTGTATAAAATATACACTCTGTTATAATAGATACATTCAGCTCTCTATGGATCAGTTTTGATATCTAATCTTACTAGGGTCCACCTGGATTATATACCAACAGAGTTTTTTTACCTATATATATATATATATATATATATATATATATATATATATATATATATATATATATATATATATATATATATATTAGGCAGCAAATTCTCTTTTAGGCATGTCTGATTAAATAAATTGCAGACATTATGTCTGCTAATTTTTAACAAAAATCTGTTCATACTCACGAATAACCTTCCGTGTATTGATGTTAAAGGATGAGAGAAACATGCTGTAGCTGTTTAAATTTTTTTATTTTCATTTCCCAAATACTTTCGATCTTCTTCAGGGGTGCAAGTAATACAAAACTATATGTTGTTCATTAATATAAGTATAAAGTTGTGCGTTGTTATGGTTATTTTTTTCATTGTGCTTTTAAATGCAAAACTGTTGGCAATTTGCTGAGCGTTCATTAGAACATGAAAAAATTTTTCCCTTTAGGTTATAATGTCATGGTCACACACGCATTGAAGTGTGAAAAAAAAACTGTTCCTTTACAGGCATTTCAGAACATTTCTGCATATATATAAGGTACTAAAAAGTGCTTGGCATAACCAAGGGATTAAAAAGAAAATCTGATGTTTGTTTATCATTTTCTTTGGCAATATAATCTTATTTGTTCCTTTGTTGACAATCCTGATTATCTTAATCTCTGTAAGGATCTTATTGCTTGCTCTAGACTCTAAATCTTTGCCACAACTCTGCTTCATCACAGATATATATTTTTTTCACTTTAACTTCTTATCTCTCTCTTTGCAGTGACATCATTACAGAATGCTTGTCGAGAAATTATCTTACAACTGGTCCGAAAGGAGGACATTGACACATTACCATTGCCAACGAAATTAAAGCAATTCCTGTTGTATGAGGTGTAGAAAGTAGGGGAAAAAAAAAAAATTGATGCAGCGGAGGGAATGTACAGAAAAAGGCAACTGCTGCCAACACCTACCTTCACTTCTCTTCCCCACTTCCTTTACCATCAGTCTATCTATTTCTCTCTGGACTCTAGAACTCGCATTGGCACATCTTGGCTCATTCATCTTTTCTTTTTTTTTTTTTTTTTTCCTCTTTCCCAATAGGATGAATGGAAAACCTGCTGCTATCAATGCTCTTTGTACTGCTGCTGTCACAACAGTTATATATATATATATATATATATATATGTGGCTCCTACATAGATGTTGGCATAGAAAAAAAATGACAAAAAGAAAAAGGATCGTTTTTTTTGGGGGGGGGTTAATAAAAAATGAATAAACTGACTTTGATTAAGTGATGAAATGGACATTTTTTTTTTTTTTCATATAAGCCAGAGCTCATTACATTTAAATGCATGCATATATATATATATATATATGTAAACAAACATGTAAACATTGTATTCGGGGATATTTTAAGTTCTCTATCCATATATATTTTTTTTTTTTCTTATGTCTCTCAACTTGTTGATACATGTTTGTATGTCCCTATTTCTTCCTCAAGATACCTTAACAGATTTCAATATTAAATTGTAAAATTTATTCATTATGCAAGTATTTTCAAATAATGTTGGATATATTGGATAAATTTTAAGAGAAATTCCTCTCCAATTACCAAACCAAACCATGAAAAAAGTTAAATATGATATTAATCTGAAAGTTGAAATTATATTTTAAATTTTATTGCTGTTTAGTTTAAAAAAAAAAAAAAATCAATAAATAAAGTCTATAAAATTTTAGCAAACTTATTTAGAGTAATAACTTATATAATACAAAAAGTCTAGTTGAAATCAACTGAGGTATCTTGATGGAAGACACTGGAAATATGCATTTACATACATATGCGCACACACACACTCATTCATTTTTATGTAGTGAATATTATACTAATTGCAGTAACACCATCTAGGAGGTAGTGTTTCTGCTAACATTTTACAATAAAAAAAAATCTTAAAAAAATTTTTTTTTTTTTTTTTTTTTGTGAAGATTACAGTGCTTTAGATTTTGTAATCTAAAATGTTTTATGCAAATGATTTTTTTTTTTTTCTTTTTTGTGAGTGGAGAGGAAGAATTTGTTAATCTGTTTTAAAGCCGGTGTTTTCTTTCTTTGTTTAATTCCACCTATCTAAATAATTTTTGTCGAGAACAATTACAAATGCAACTGAATTTCATGATGAAAACTCATTTAGTACAGAGGCCAGTAATGGAAATGATTTTTTTTTTTTTCTCTTCTTTTCCAATATATACCCCCAGGAAAAGAGTCTACTTTCCTTCAACCCAACTGAAGCACATTCACATGACTATGACATCCTAAAAATGTACCCATCAAATTTTTAAAATTTTTCTGCTTAGAAGTTATTACATAGTATGTCGTATATTTTAGAGTAGAAGAATTGACTTCTTGCATTTCCAGAGAGCCAGTGTTATATCATAATAATGTTAGGTTAGGAATGTCAATGATTCTATTGCAAAAGTCATTATACATTCAGGTATGTTCACATCAGGATTATTATTTTGTTTTTGTTTTTAAGTCAAACATTGAAAACTTTCTTCTATGATGATTCTTTTTTTTAACTGTTTAAAAAGCAAATGTCCTTTTTTGACAATTCATGAAACAGAATCTGTGATCTGGTGTAAATAAAAAAACAACTGACTGTTCTTGGATTTTTAAAATTAGAAAACTGATTATGCATATGACATTGAAACACTGGTTCTTTTACTATCACTAAAATTAAGTAACTTCAAGCCTGGTCTGTAACTAAATGGGTGACTGTTTGGGAATGCCAGGTACTTGGATGTGCAGAAGGTTTAATGGATAATGACTTAATTGTTCATAGCAGAGTTCCTGTTAGTTTTGTTATATTTACTTACATGCAAGTACCCTTGGGAAAAGTATAAATCCACTTCTCTCCTGCAATTATAAGTTAATTAGTAGGACTTGTATTAATAAATCATTATCTACTCTCCTGCCAAAAAAAAAATTCTTACAATTTTAAAAATATTTTTTGGCTTTAAGTAAACCTGCAAAAAAGTTGATAAGCTGTAAAAAAAAAAAAAAAAAAAAATCCAATCTGATTAAACATAAAAGATCCTTTTTCAGAGCTTTTCAAAAAATTTTATTTTAAGAATTTTTTTTCTTAAATTCACAGATTAGTTTAACTAAATACTCTAACCCTATTTCTACCATACTTTACTAATCACCAGTTTATTTTGTTCCTTTTAATTAGTAGTCTTAAACTTGTTACTTTAATGCCAGACTTTGGTATATTTTAATGATTAGTTGCCTGATCTATTACTTGTCATTTGAATGGTAGTTTGTCTCTTCCAGGAAAGGGTACAAAGAGGTCAGGGGAAACCCTTTCTTTATGTATGCTCTTTGCTCATTGTACAATTATGGGTGTCATAACTCATTTTGTAGAAAAGTTTGTTACCTCTGCCAATGAAGTTAGACAAAAGGTATACATTCAGTCATACGTCTCTGATTGTCCTTTACCTTACCTTATCTCCAATCATTTCAGTAACCTCTTTTTTGAAGAGCAGGCAATGATTAAATTTTGGGGCAGAACCACAAATTTTTGTTCAGTTGAAAGATAAATTTAAAATATTAAGATATTACCCTGAAATATATAGAAAAAGGAAAACTTAGTTACCAACCTTGTATCGTATCTTGTTTTCATTTGGTCTTTAGTGACAATGGTGTTGTTTGTGAGCTGTGTGTGTTCAAGATCTTTATTTAATATGTTACTATTGTTTTGCTTTTTTTTGTTTTTTTTTTAATACTAAATGTTCACACAATACAAGGCTCAAGCTCTGCTTGAGATAAAATATAAGTGAATGTAAGAGGAGGAAGTAACTGTACATTGATATGTAAGGTAGATAATTGTTAACCTTAAATTTGAAGAGGTTAAGATTGTAGTGATTGTGAAAGCATACTCTTGGGAGCCTGTTGTACAATGTAGCAGTAAAAAGCAAGTGGAACTTCCTTCTTCTCAATGGAATATGAAGGGAATGAGTAGGATTCAGTCCTGTGTATGTGGTGTGGCGTAAAGGTCTGAACTAGTGAAATGTAGCTTGTCTGAACATTTTCCATGGAAATAGCAATACAGTATTTGTTTGTGGGGAACGGTGCTGTAGAGTTAAAAAAAAAAAAAAAAATAAATAATTCATCACCCACAAGGCTGTGTAAACACTCTTGTCAAGATTGGAAAGTAAGGATTTGGCAGCAGTACTATATTTCAGCTGAAGCTGTCTGATCCTCAGCTTCCAGATATGGCGGCAGTGTCATATATAGGTTGCATCTGTCTGATCCTCATCTTCCTGAGAGGGTGCTTAGTTTATTGATGAAGCATGTTGAAGTTTTCCAATCACCTTATATAAAGACACTTGTGTTGACTTCAATTTATTTAGGTGTTACATAGGGTAATTTTCCTCTCTTTCTAATTTTATTTATTTAATACCTTATCTTTCTTTTTTTTTTTTTTTTTCATATTAAATATTTCTTAGTGATGGAAACTAAAATGAGTTTCAAACAAAGATATTATTAGCAATATTATTAGTATCTAATATTATTAGCAATATTCACCAAAACATCTTGCTTCAGAATAAAAAGCTACTGTTCAAGGATTAGGTTGTGTACTGACAACGAAGATCAGTTTGGACAAATATTTCAATATATGTGAAAGTAACTTAACCTGTCATGCTCAACAAATTTTGAAGAGATGTCTCTAGCCTAAAAATTTCTTCATACAGTATTCGGATAACCAAAAATGCATTCCAAATGCTAAGCAGAGTACTAAAAAATGGAAAAATTTTGTTAGAAACAATGAAAAGAGTTTATGTTATGTGATATCTGTCCTGTATGGCAGCAAATGCTGGACAATCTCCTCAAAGATGACGGTACTTGAGGCAACAGAAATGTGGTTCTACAGAAAGATGCTAAGGATACCATGGAACAAACGTGAGCAACGACAAAGTTTTAGAGAAAAAAGAAAACTTATACTTGACATCAGAAGAGACAGTTGAGGTTTCTGGGGCACATAAGGAAGAATCTGATATTCACAGGACAGATTGAAGGCAAGAGAGAAGAAAAAAAAAAAAAACACATAACATTCTTAGTGAGCTTGAGTAAATGGATGGCAAAAAAGGAGAAGAGAAAATTTCTTCAGAAGTACAAGGGACAGGACATTGTGGAGAGCCATGATTGCTAACATCTTGAGCTGACATGACACATAAGGAAGAACCGTTGAAGGTAAAAAAAAAAAACAAATCAATTATTCAGATTATTTGTATGCAAAAAATATATTTATTCTTTTTGGATCATGAATCCATTGCTAATTTTCATTTGAATGCAATATGATTAGAGAAAATGTATTCATGTGACACAATGGTTCCCTGCTCAATTAGCTTTGGATAACTACATAGTCAAGTGAACCATAATTGATTTTATCTGAGTGTGAATCATCAGCAATTTTATAACAACTAACAATAAAATCAAGTTATGAGAGCTTCAAAGCAAACATCTCCTTTTCAGAAGTTGGAAAAATAAATTATAAAAGGATCAAGTGCCACTCTGATGGAAGGTAGGAAATTCCCATCTTGGGCTTATATAGTTTGGTTGCATTCTGGAATGTGCAGTCCAGTTACCTGTTATGTGATGGACCAGTGACAAGTTGTTTGTTACAATATAGGCAAAGTAGCAGTTGGACAAGAGAGAAGCTGTTTGTCAAGATGTAGACAGTAATGGATAGAAATGAGCCGAGAGGTAGTTCTTGCTGTTAAAGATTGGTCTTCTCTTACAACAGACTAATTGACCAGAAGTAGTAGCAAAGATGTCCCAAGTGTCAGTTAACCCTCTTCTGGAAAGTGCCAGGTGTTTGCTTTCGTTTCTCATTATGATAATTCACCTTGTTTTTGTTAGTGAAAAACTAAGAATTGGCTGCATGTTTACATTTTTAGTAATTTAAAGTTATAAATATATTGACTGATAGTGTTATACAAGTGCAGATAATTTTTATTATTTTTCTTTCATTTTAAG